TTCCTTCAACCAAGTGTAAAAGTTTAGTTACAATTCATGAATCTAAGAGAAAAATGGAGAAGAATGAAGTTGGAGGCGTTCTGGTGTGTTTTGGGGTGTTTTTAAGGTTGAAAAGTCATACAAGATATGTTGCCTAAGGAGTTTAAGTCAATTTAGGAAACTTGAGATTCGACATCAGGATACAACCATATGATCGCAAGATATTAAGTCATGCTATCGTAAGGAACAAATAAATTCAACCTTCAGACTCTCGGTGATGGTCTGTGCGATCGCAAGGAATTAAAGCCATGTGATCACAAGGCTTTACAAAACTTTCTCCGGATAGCTTTCAGTATTTTGGTCGTAACTTTCTCTTCTGATGTCCGATTGAGGTGATTCAAGATGCATTGGAAAGATAACTCAAAGAACTACAACTTTTATTCATATGACATCTTCGAATTCTATCATTTGATATGTCAAAACTGGTCTCAATATGAGGCTGAAAATCGGTGCAAAACTTTTCAGCTTGAAAGTTGATATGTGATAATGTTTTGGCTATATTTCATCCCTTCGTCTTCTTTCTTCATCCAATTGGCCTCTAGCACTCTCAAGTCTTTATCGTGAGGTTCGATACAACTTTTAAATATTTGTACTTTGGTTCCCAAACTTTCGCTTTCTTTCATTTTAGTCTTTTTTCCCCCATTTCTTCCAACTTACGCCATATCCATCGAATTGTCACCTAAACCAAAATATGAGAATACTAAGTACATTTAGGCATAAAATAATCATATGAGCGCATTAAATAAAAATGTAAAATGTGTATTTTATATTCCTATCAAATTCCCCCACACTTAGCTTTTACTCGTCCTCGCGCAAATTTAAATTTAATTCTCCAAAGACACCAAGTCGTAATGCCAAGGACATAGAACCATCAAACTTTTTCAAAACACATAAAATATCATGAATAAACGTTTCACACAACTCATTATCAATTAACAAGCATTTTCATATAAAAATGAAGTAAACTAAACATGTAAACCCTCACGGATATAAGCACTCAACTCTCATGTGTTTAAAAGGGTAAGTGTTTCGCTCAAATTCATTCCAATTGAGATGTTCTACCATATGCTTGCATATCTTCTCATTCGCCACCACTTAGATCACATGCTTTACAAGATTCATAAGGACTTTTCAAATGTTGTAATGTGGCTTATGGTCAAAGTGGGAAATATTTGGGTAGGTGACTCAGGAGCCATCGAAATTAGTGGAGTAAAGATAAATAGACTTAGCTCAAACATATATATAAGACATGTAAACCAACCACTCCACATAATAACTTCATCATTTTTTGCATCTATCCCACACAAATCGAACTTTTTCTTGAGATGTAGGAAAAGTTATGAATATAGATCTTTTTCACATTAAAATCACTATCTTTCATCACTTATTTTCTTTTTCTTTCTTTTCTTTTCTTTTTCTTCAATCATTCATTTTTTTCGGTAGGGGTCAGATATATTCCTGAAATGGCTAGGAATCTTATTTCGGTAGGAGCTTTAGAAACCAATGATTTTACTGGTAAAATTGGAAACAACATGTTAAAAATGATTAAGGGTGCTATTGTCACAAGTAAAAGTACTAAGACAAACAATATTTATGTAACTACTGCAGAAATTATTAAAAATTCATTTTCCTCTATAAATTTGACCAACATGAATACCACACACAAGTAACAGAATAGATTAGCTCACATAAGTATTAAAGGACTTAAACTGCTAAATGATAAAGGTGTATTTGGAAAATATTGTGTATCTGATGTGGCTTTCTGTGATCACTGCATGCTTGGTAAATATCATAAGTTATCTTTCTCATCCGATGTACACAAAAGTACTAAAGTTTTGAATTATATCCACACTGATTTATGGGGGCCTACTACTAATCCTACAATTGATGATTATTCTCGTAAGGTGTGTGTTTATCAGTTAAAAGATAAAATTGAAACTTTCAAAAATTTTAAAACGTGGAAATTGCAAGTTGAAACTCAAATTGGCAAGAAGATAAAATATATAAGAACTGATAATGGCCTTGAATTCTGTAATAATGATTTTGATTATATGTTATTCCACCTACAATTGAACAAATCAAAGTAATTAGTTTATGGAATTAAACAATAACAAGAAATCAAATTAAGCAATTAAAATTGAAGAACAATAAGAACAATAAAATTCCCCTTTCTTAGGCTCAGAAAACTTAATCCAACACTACAAAGACAACACCAAATTTTGGAGAATGACACGAGCACACAAAGGCTCGAAGAGGAGAAGCTGGACTGAAGAAATTTTGCACAAAGCAAGGGACTGGTTACTGCTTCTCCCTTGAGGCACAAAGCAATAATTTTTGGTGTGTTGAATTGAGGACGAGAGGTTTCAATTTATAGGCAAGGAGTTGAACCAATTTCCCAGCTTTTTCTCTCCAATGGTAGACATTATCAAAATTGAAAATTGGTTAGATAAAGGATATAGTGATACAAATTTGAATGAAATGAGTAACGACCCTTATCAAATTATCTCAAAGAATTGGGTGTTGAATATCTAACTCAATTGACCGATTTACTCTAAATACCCAATAAGATTTGGGTTACATCGTTTGTGTTGTGGACTTTAATTGTTCTTCAATCCCTTTATCGTCCAGGTACTATTTGGTATCACAAAAATACCCACCTCTCTTGTACAAAAATACTTGCTATAAGAGTGTGTTTGAAAAAGAATGTATTATTGAATAGTAGATTGATGAAAAATGTGTGGTTAAAAATGAAGAAAAAATTATTGATGTGATGAAAAATATTATTTTATTGAAAAATATATACTTAAAAATGAGTAGAAGAATGAGAATGAAAAAAAATTTACACATGGTTTGTTACGGATTTTTTTACTTATTAGTAGAATGGATGAAAAATAATTGTTTCCCAGAATATTTTCGTTTGGTCTCCTTCCCCAAGCAACAAAAGAAAATTTAGGCAGGCTGCCATGAATCTGCAGGCTGTCAGCTCAACAGAAAAAGCAATATTATGCCCAAAGATTCAATCTTGCCTTCCTAAACAAGACCTCAAAGGCCGTTCCGTTGCTGTGAGCACCCTTCTTTTCAACTTCTTCCTTTGGATTTTATTTTATTTTTTTTCAATTTCTTTTTGTTTTTCAAAATTGGATTATTTGGGTATATTTGGAAAATTCTGATACTTATAACCTGACTCCGTTAATTCAGTCTGTTGTGTATGGATGTTGTGTTGAAAGTTTCTATTATGGTAATTAGAAACGAAGCAAATGTAAAATGTCAGAAACTGCAGGTGAAATATATGGTGATTGGAATTTGTCATAAAAAAGTGAGAAACCACAAGTGGGAATTAGCAATTCAGCACTGTGTACATTCTCGAAAGTATGGGAGAATCGCAGTGTTTGATGAGTTGGGCAATTTTTATTTTTATTTTTGTGTGTGTATGTGTGTGTTCATATACGGTTCCATTGTTCTTGCATCATATTGCTGGTGTTTGATTAACTGGGCACTTTTTGTGCTCTTTTTTTATTTGTGTATGTGCGTGTTCATATACGGTTCAGTTGTTGTTGCATCATATTGCGTCAGTTGTCAACTTGATGGCGATGTTCTGTTAATTCCAATGAAAACCTTGGTCGAAATGGAACATGCAAGCATTAGTATATAAACAACCACATTTTATTCCCAAAGGAGTGTTAACTTATTTGCATGCGTCTGTTTGATATCACGTCTCATGATTTGAGAGTCTGTCTTCTGTTTTAGACGCTGATGGGGAGAGGCCTTTTTCTTCCAACCGATGGGGTAGTCTTGAATCACAATATTACACTTCCATATTGATGACACAATTGCTTCTAATTAGTTGGCATTGCCATCTTGTTAGTGAGTTTTACACAGAATGAAGAAAGTTAATTGTGAACTGTGATAGAATATTGATCAGAATACGTGCTTCAATTGTAGATTATAGGTCTGGGAAAATCTGGAATTTCTGCTACAAAGCTTGCTCTTGCCAGAGGTGCTTCTGTTCTAGCCATTGATGAGAACGAAAAATTGGTCCCTCTATGGGTAGATTCTTTTTTTTTTCTCATCTTTAAGCACATTGCTTTGCCATTTTCTGAATGCGGATTATATAATTCCGTAGTTGTAGCAAAATATTCTTTCAGAGAAACATAGCTGTTTGAAGACAATCCTTGGTCAATTTGATCACGAGTTACTTAAGGAGGCTGATGTGATAGTTGTTTCCCCTGGAGTTCCTCTCAAGAATTATGGTCTGTCCTCACTTTTACAGTCTGTAAGTATGATCCTGTGTTTTCAGATTCTACATGAAATTAAATATATGCCTGACAGTACACGGTACCGTCACACCACTTACGTTTAGCATGCCCTAAATGTAAATACTCCTTCAAGTGCAAGCAATAATGTGCCTTAGTTTTTGAGTGATATCTTCACCTAACTTAAAATTTTGGAATTTTTATGTCGTTGAATGATTATGACTGCTCCTATTTGAATTTAGGGAAAGCGTGTAATGTCCGAGTTGGATTTTGCAGCAGAAGTTCTCCCAAGTTGCACCAAGGTTTTGGCTGTGACTGGAACTAATGGAAAATCTACCGTGGCCACGTTTGCTGGACAGGTCTGCTTAATCTCCTGGTTTTTTCTGTGGATTTATTTTTAAGTTTTTACCCCCCATATGTATAATGGGTTCCACTTGTCATCGGATGTGAAGAATATAGTGTTACTTATGCTCGTTGAAATAGAATGTTCCGTACATCAGTTAAATTGGCCGGCTGATCGTTGATGAAAATGATGAACAACATTGTCGGGCATAGAAAAGAAGGGCAATTTTCCAAACTTCTCAGTGGTGTCGTTTTTTATATGATCTTAAACTGTTGTACTCCATTTAACTTATCTTAATAATGGCGCAATCAAATTTTGATTGTTGCATGTTTAGGGAGTTCAAGATAGAATTTATATGAAATTATGTTATTTATTCAGTTCTTTATGGTGTTACCAGGCCATGTGTCTGTGTTGCTATCCCTTGCACTAATATATCAATAATTCCTGGATTACAGATTCTCCATCAGTTGAATATAGAGACTTTTGTTGGGGGAAACCTAGGCATTCCTCTGTCGGAAGCTGCTTTCCAGTGCATAACATCATGCCCTGAAAGATTTCTTCAGGCAAGGAAGAATGTATTATGTATCTTATTTTCTCTTCCTTTTTCATATTCATTACATATGTAATTATATGTACTGAAAACTGGCTACTTCTTCATGTATCCTTGACTTACACAATTTTGAAGGTCTGCACATCTAATATCAAGCATGTATAAATTTTTCCAGGTTGCCGTTGTGGAAGTTAGTAGTTATCAGTTAGAAATTCCCAACAAGTTCTTCCACCCTTCTGTAAGTGGGGTTCATGTTTGTGTCTTGGTCATCTAGTTGTATTATACTCCACTATACTTCTGTTTGGCGTTCTGGCTTTTAGGTTGCTGTAATCTTGAATCTCACTCCGGATCATCTCGAAAGGCACAAGACAATGGAAAACTATGCCATGACTAAGTGTCGCGTTTTTTCTCACATGACTGAAAAAAAGATTGCTATTCTTCCACTTGGTATGTAAACTGAATTCTTTCTCACTTAAAATCTTTATAGAGCATCTGGCTTAGCTCAAAATTTTTTATTTACTTAGTTTTTATGAGGGAGTGGATGCTGGAAATTGACAACTTTAGGATGGACATTGAAAGTTGAAACTACATAATCCACATTTCATATTCTATTGAAATCATTTTTCTACATTGTCACTAGAAGCTGAAAAGAAATCAAAGGAGATGTTTGCACATTAAGTTGGATTTTTAGACAATAGTGAAATACGTAAATATTCCAGTTTTTTGATATAATGATGAAGAAGGAACTAAGCCATATGTTATTTCCTTCCGGCTACATTATCAATCAAATTTTCTCTATTTTTAATTTTGATCTAAAACTCTCATTGTGCACGATTTCATTCATAGGTGACAGCACGTATAAAGAATGTTAACACTATAATGATACACCTGTACAGGAAATTCTTATCTAAATGAAGCAATTGCTGGTCATGAGAATGAATGTAATTTTGCTTGGATAGGCGCTCATCCTGGTGTTAAAGTAAGAAAGCTTTGATCTCTTCATTTATGGGCTTTCACAGATCTGAATATTTGATTTCTATCAGGCCATTGTCATGCATTTTCCGATGACATCATTATATTTTTAACCTTCAATGCTTTCATGTGTTTTAACCAAAATGCATTCTTCAATTTATCTCATACCAGTAGCAAATATGGAAGAATGTGAATATGAATTCAATAGATGCACTATTTCTGGAATCTTGAAGACTGGACATAATGCTCTTAAAGTTTCAAATTAGCAAGTTTTCATCATTGCCTAGAAATATTTAATGAAGTTCTAATTGGTCATTTTTTTATGTTGATGACATTTTAAAATAAATGTGTCCCTCCCTAATAACTTGTGTTTTTAGATGAGATACTTGAAGTGATACCACGACTAGAAGAAAGCTTGAGTTTAAGTTTCACCACCACCTATTTATGAAAAATTGTCATGTATCAAGTGTTTGATAAATATACGAATCCGGCTTGCAAATGAGAGGGCAAGTTGAAGACAATATTAAATAAATATTTATGTCCTTTCTGATATAACTTAAGCTCTTAGAGAGGTGGTTAACAATTTGTAGTGCTCGGGGAGTGAGTGATCATATTGCTGGTGGGGGATTGAGATACTTCTTTTCTCTGGTATTTCCTTTTTAAGTTTTGTTCTTGGATAGTGCAAATTAAATTAACATTATATTTCTCAACATGCATAGATTGACATGGAGGCCAGAATTGCCAACTTTGAAGTCCCTACAATCGAACATGTATCCCAACTACCATTGAGTGCAATGAAAACCATTGGGACACAAAACTATTATAATGCTGCAGTTGCTGCATTGTCTGTTATTGGTCTGGATCTTGGAATCAATGATGCAGCTATCTATTCAACTATTGGGAACTTAAGAGCTCCACCTCATCGCATGGAAGTTGGTGAGTAGGGTCATCCTTCTATATGTAATTGTTCCAAACAGAAAAGTGGCACCGGTACTCATCTATAGTAGCATGAGTTATAGAGCATAGCCTATATCCACCGAGGAGGATGGAGGTCCCCATCATTTTCCAATCCCCATTTAACGTAGAAGCCATTTGGCATTAGTAATGGTAGTGGATGAGATTTTCTTGGGGCTTTAATTATTAAATGGAATGGTCAAACACCAAAATGAACAATGTGTATTTAGTCTTCATTGATATAATTAGTCAACGCTATCGATGGCAGTTTACAAGGAGCATAGATATGACTCAAGCATCTGTTATATGATTCTTTCTCCGGCCTTTCTGTTTTTCTCTCTATCTTAGAATGTCTGAAGCCATATACCAACTGCCTGCTTCAGTCTCAGTAATGGTACTAATTTATTCTTTACAAGTTATTGTGGGACTTGGATTCCTAAATTGCTGTCAAGAGATAACCAAAAAGCACAATTTGGATTGTATGTTAAATATTCACTTTTTGATGAGCTTTATCTGTTCATTTTAACTTGAATGTATGCTCGAAATTAAGTTTAAAATTTCCTCACCTTTTAGTTTCTCCTCTTAAGCTGCAAGCAAGAATTTGATACTGAATCTCAACTTTTTAGGTTGAACTAAATGTCAAATTTTGACTTGTTAGCAACCTTTGACTGTTTATAGATGTATAGGTATATACATACCCACCCACCATCCACCGGTCCATCAATGCACGTGCTCGCTCACGCACTTGTTGAACTGTTGTTAACTTCTTTTTGCTTTTCTCTTTAAGTTGCTTAAGAATCATTGTTCTTTTTCCTCTTGTGGAAATTGATAATATCAAGTTGAATTGAGTTATCAATGGATGAGAGATAATGAAAGATTACGGATCAGAAAGTTCTGAGAGCTACAGCTATTACCTCTTTTTCTTTGACCTCGTGTCATTTATATTAATCTAACTTCTGTAGACCAAGTAGAATTTAACGTCAACTTTTCTAGTGGTATACTGATTAGCTTGGATTTTTCTTTATGTAATTCTAAATATTCTTTCTGCAGTTCACAAAGATAGTCATGGAATAACCTGGGTGGATGATAGCAAGGCAACAAATGTAGATGCTACGTACACTGGATTGATGGGTCTCAAAGAACTAAAAGCAGTGGTTTTACTTGGCGGTCTGGCAAAGGTTACTACATTTCCATCGACTAATTCTGTTCTCATAATATATAATGGTCGTTTGCAATTTACATTTATAACAAGCTTTCCAGTAGTGAACTTGTACATTTATGACATGTTTGGTAAGGACAATATCAAAAAAGACTAAAAACTTATTTACTATAACTATCCAATCTTTTCTAATGTCTAATATTGTGTACCAAATACACTTACTTATTAATCTTTAAACCCGCGTGGGAAAAGTAGATAATGCCATGCCGTGTAGTTGAATAATCTGATATAGAACCCATGACTCAGGAAACTATTACATCCCAGTTATTATTGTGTTCATGGTATAAAGTGGTAGAAGGTGTGCACAAGATTAGACTTTCTTAAGCATAGGAAAAACATTGTCATTAGTCTATGTGCAACTATTTATCTTGACAATATTCTTTCTTTTTCGCCAGAAGGGTTCTTTTCCGGAATTTTATCATGTCATTTTTTCAGGCATCAGACGTGCAAGGTTCTAATGGTTTTGAGCGGCTGGTAGAAACGTTGAAGTACCACAGAGGTGTAATCACCGTATGCTGCATCCCTTTCTGCTGGATATTATCATCAGTAATTGCTTATACTTTGAGAAATGAATTTCAACTTAAAACTGTTTTTTCGAAAAGTTTGGGTCTGCAGGTATGATGATCCAAAACACACTATCCTCTAATGGCCTCAACATTCCTTGTATAAGAGCCAGAGATCTGAAGGACGCTGTGAGGTTGGCGAAGAGTATGGCAAAAACTGGTGTGTCCTTTTCCTGCTAGATCTCGTGTACCCTCTTCATGCTTCGCAATATCACACACATATAGATACTTTGAAGTAAAAACTTGCTGTCAAAAAAGGATAGATTTCGTACCAAAAAAAGAACTTTTGAAAAACCTAACATGCTCTTAGAAATATGTATTTAGCATGATTATAATTCGTCTTTGATCCTTCTTGTGTTACTTTTTAGGCTTGTATGCAACAGTTTGAACCGGGATACTTATGACCTATCTTATGTCATCTTCTTGTTCTTGATGTAGGGGACGCAATTGTTTTGAGTCCCGGCTGTGCTAGTTTTGATGAATTCAGAAATTTCGAGCACAGGGGAAAATTCTTTCAGGAGCTTGCCTTCTCAAAATAAGTGCTTTTAGTTGGATATTTTTGTGTTGTAAGCACCTTTTAAGCTTAGCAAAACATGCTCTTAAGTCGAACTTCTCGTCTCCATTAATTGAGATGGGTCCATCTGCAAATTGCATTAGCCCAAACAAAAACTTGCCCCCCTTTAAACATTGTGGCCCAATGGGCCATATTTTCTGCTCCTTCATTACACAGTGCATTAATTGGATACTGTAAATTGTTCATTTATTGCCTAATAATATCAATCCAAGTTACGTAGTATACATGCATGACTGGGGATGGAATCATGGAAAAAGCTTGTCGACTCAGAAACCGAGCCCCATTTTGGGAGGAGAAATGTTATTCATCCCCAGTGGGGATGCATCCCCAGTCTATGAGATGCATCCCTACTGGGGATGAATAGTATTTTTCTTTTAGGGGCGTCAGCCTGAGCCGACCTGTTTAAAAAAAATAATAAATAAAGCTAAAATAGCTGCAGGCAGCTATATTTTAGTTGCCTGCACGAAAAAAAAACCATAGCCGAGCCTCGTTTTTTGGCCGAGCTTTTGCTGGACTTTGGGCCAAAAAAGTTCGGCCCCTTTTGGCCAAAAAAATTAAAAATCAGAGCTTGAGTTTTGAGTTTTGGCTCTGCTCGTTGCCATGACTATGCATAGCCATACACATTAAAAAGGTGGGGCATAATAATTGGTATCATATCATAAAATGAGGGGTAATTGGTGAAATATTCCCTGTTCTTTATTAATTTTGCGCAATGTTACCCTAGCTTTTCATTTTGGCACAGTACCCTTCACATCATTCAAACTTTGTGTAATAAGTAATAACCCTTTGAGACTAATAAATGGACAAATTCCTTTTATTAAGAAGGATAATAGTAGCTCCATCTTCGTTCATATTCTCCACAAAGACTTATAAAGTGACAAATTTATCATTTTCTTTAAATAAACAGAAAAAAGAGAAAAGAATAATAATTAATCATAGTCATAATTTCAAAAAGTGCAAACGAGTTATAATAAAAATAATTAAAAGTTGAAAAACAAAAAAACTACTTTTTCTTCAACTAATCCCACCTACCTCTGACCCAACCCCCAAGAGTTGTGCATGAGCCCATGAGATAACTAGATTTTTTAAAAAAAATTACTAAAACAAGTACAAAATGAGCTTACGCTCGAGCTCAAGGCAAGATTTCTTGAGCCTAGCTCATTTAGCTAGTGAAAAAGATATTGAGCTTGACTCGGCCTATGGCTCATCTCAATACGATCTTGAGGGGCTCATGGATCAAGTCACCTTATTTACCACCCCAAGTTAGAGTGTGTATTGTCCGCACCTGTATCCTTGGTCTTTCCTATCTTTCCTTGTGTATTTGTTTGGTCGAGAGCTTGGGAATCAAAGGATAGTTAGAGCGTTTAAAAGCATTAGGAAAAGTGAAAATGCATGGTCTATGACTTGGGGTAAGGGTCATTTTACGAATGAAGTGAGAAAAAAGGCTTTCAAGAATGGTTTTTGACCGTCTAGGGAACTGATGATTCATCGGACTTCGAAGCCATGCCACTAATTTTGTAAAAGATAAATTCCTATTCGTTGATGCGCCTACCTTCCAAGTCATGACATCTCTTTCTCCATGAGGTGTGGCTAATATATAAGATCCATCATCAAGCTGAGTACAAGTAGGATAATTGTCTTCCGTCCCTTTTGTATTATTATTTGATTCTATTTTTCTAGCAACTTTTAGTGGGCCTGCGATTGGACATTAATATCAAGTTGATGTGGCCCATACAGGGTGTTGGGTCATTTTCAATCCTGGGGCTTGTACTGGACTTGTCTCTCTGTCTCCTATGTGGGCCTATTGACACCTATGTGGCCCTATAATTAAGTCCATTTATCCTTCAGAAAGTTGGTGTCTGACTACAGAGGATACCCATGAAGGATGGGACCGGCCGAGTAATTTGAGAGCATTTTATATTTTATGAAAGTATAAAAAATTGTCTGGAAATTATAAACAATAAATATCAATATAACTCGTTATTAATTTGAGTTAAAAGTTGAAAAATGCTATTCATCCCCAGTCTATGTGGGTGTAAATGATTGGTTAAATGATAGGTAAAATTAAATGATTTATTTAATTTCACCAATCATTTAATACCACATTAACGCTACATGGATTGTGGATGCATCCCCACTGGGGATGAATATCATTTCTCTTAAAAGTTAGAACATCCTTCAGCCACAAGTCTTGAAAAGAACAGTCCAAAAGTGGACCCGAAAAGCCCATAAT